AAAAAAAAAAAAAAAAAAAAAAAAAAAACAACAAAAAAAAGAAAGCCCTGAGCCAGAAAGAAATGGTGCTTTACACAGAGGAGACGAGGATAGGGATTTCTACCGACTTCTTATCAGAAGCTCTGGGAGGCCAGAAGACAATGAAATTACATCCTTAAAGTGTTAAAGAAAAAAACCCCCAAAACCAAAAACAGCTAACTCAATCTCTATAAAACAGCAAAACTGTCCTTCAAAAATCAAGATGAAATAATGACATTGTCAGACAAACAGAAACTGCGATAATTCATCACCAATGTGGACCACACAAATGCTGGTGGGAGTTCTCCAGATGAAATGGCAACAGACGGTGACTCTGTAGATCCACAGAGAAGAAGAAATGGTACCTATGTGGGTAAATATAAAAAACTAATTTTTTCCCTTTTACCCTTCATTTTGTTTAAAACAGAAACGATAGGGGTAGATTAAATGGAACTATATTTTCCATATAATTCCGATACTAACTCTCAATAGACTGTGGTAAGTTAAAAATGACACTGAAACCCATTCAGCAACCATACAACAACAACAACAACAAAACAGTGAAAAAGGTGTGGTTAAAATATCAACAGAGCTCTATCAGCCATGATGGAGTAGATGGGACCACACTGAGTCTCTTGCTGAAAACAACTAGAAAATGGGAAAAAAATACGTGGAACCGTTTTCAGACATTAGACAACACGCAAGGCAGGGCCGTCGTCCCCGAGAGAAGGGAAGCAGGCTGAGCCCCGTGACCGCCACGTCCCTCTTGAGAGGCACTTTGTGGACTGTGGTGCAGGCAGCTGACCCCAAGTGGAGCAGGTCTCAGTGAGCTGAGGAGGTAGAAATCAAAGTCTGGGCCGACTGAGCCGGATGGAAACTGAAGGACAGACTACCAGACAAGGTGGAGCTGTCCAGAAAGAGAAAAGAAGGCTGTGCAGAGACTGCCTGGAGGCCCCGACTGAACACTAAGCCGGGCATGCACGGGGTGAGAAGGCACCCGCCTTCTCACCAGGCAGAGTAAAAAGTCCTTGCTGAACAACCAGGGAAATCCATGGAGATCCCAGGAGTACTAGTAGAACTGAACCAGCCAGAGTAACGCTTAACACCCCAACAGAGCTTAAAAACAGCCTCAAAATAAGCATTAGCCATCAGGGACATGCAAACCGAAATAACAATGAGGTACCAATTCACATCCACTAGAATGGCTGTCGTCAAAAAGAGAGACAGTAACAAGGGTCAGCAAGGACGTGGAGAAATTGGCACCCTGACACATTGCTGGTGGGAATGTAAAATGATGCAGCAGCCGCTGTGGAGAAGTCTGGCAGTTCCTCAAATAGTCACACACAGATTACAGTGTGACCCAGAAATTCTACTCCAGGTCTATACCCAAGAGAAATGAAAACATATCCGCATAAGCTCCTGTACATGACTGTTCATAGCAGCATCATTCACAATAGCCAAATAGTGGAAACCACTCAATGTCCATCAACCAATCAATAAGTAAAGTGTGGTATGGCCATACGATGGAATATTATTTGGCAATAAAAGGAAATGAAGTACTGATACATGCTACAACCTGGAGGAACCCTGAAAACACTATGTCCTGTGAAAGAAGCCAGTCACGGAGGACCACATATTGTGTGATTCCATTTACATGAGTTGTCCAGTATAGGCAAATCTACGGAGACAAAGTAGATTAGTGGTTGCCTAGGGCTGGCGGTGACGGTGGACTGGTGGCGTGTCACAGCTAAAGGTGTGAAGTTGCTTTTTCGGGTAATGAGAATGTTCCGAAATTGACTGTAGTGATGGCTGCTGCACAACTCTGAATATACTAAAAGTCACTGAACTCTATATACTAAGTGGGTGAAATATAGGATATATGAACTGTATCTCAATAAAAACTGTTTTTAAAAAAGGACCTGCAAGTAATTTAACTGCCTACCCAAACAAACTCCAGCTCTTTAAAGGAAGACAATACATACAGATATTCAACCACATAACTTTAACAATGTCCAGCATCCACCAGAAATTATTACATTTGCAAGAAGCAGGAAAATGTAACCCATAACAGGAGAAAAACCACTCTTTAGAATCAGACCCAGAATAGAGGTGAAGGAAAGAGTATCTGATACACACACACACACACACACACACACACACACAATGTATATCTCAGATATATAACAACTGATATAACATGTTCAAGGATTTAAAGGAAAACATGAACACAGTAAGGAGAGAAAAGGAAAATATAAAGAAGAACCAAATGGAACTTCTAGGACAGGAAATACACTATCTGAAAGGAAAAAAAATAGTAGGTAAGGTATTGTGGAGAAAATAACAGTGGGAATGAAGACACAGAAATAAAATATATCTGAAATGAAGCACTGAGAGGAAACAAGACTGGGAAAACCCCTACAAAAGAACAGAGTCTCAGTTGAGTAACTAGAATCCTAGAAAGTGGGGGAGGGGACAGAAAAACACTTGAAGAAACAGTACCTAAGAGAATGGAGGAAAAGAATATGATAATCTCAATAGCTATAGACAAAGCATGTGACACAGTTCAACATCATGCATTCATGAGAAACACTCTTGGCCAGCCTGGGAAAGAACAAACATAAAGGGCATCTATGAACAAACTACAGCTAACACCATAAGGAACAGTGAAATACTGAATGCTTTCCCTCTAAGATGGGACACAAGGGAAGGAGGTCCGCTTTCTTGACGTCAACGCTCTGCTGGAGGTCTTAGCCAATGAAATAAAGCAAGAAAAGGAAATATCGTGTCCACAGATTGCAGAACTCGGTATTGTTAAGATGCCAACTCCTTCCCAGACTGCTCTACGGACTGACTCCCAATAACATCAGCAGGCATTTTTTTTTTTTTTAATAGTTATCAAGAGACTATTGTATTGGCATAGAGACAGACAAGTAGAACAACAGGACAGAACAGAGCCCAGCAACAGACCCACATTTAAGGCAGTAAAACAATTCTATGACAAAAAGAAAGTCTTTTCAATAAACGGGGTGGGTACAACTGACTGTATCTGCAGATAACATCATGATGTACACAGAAAAATCCTAACAAATGTACAAAAAGACTACTAGAATAAGTGAATCTTACAAGATGAAAGGTTAATATATAAAAATCAATTGTGTTTTTATATAGTAGTGATAAATTCTTAAAAATGAAATAAGCCATAGCTTTCACAATAGCACTTTTCTGTTTATAATTAGAAAATGAGGTGTAATATGGAGGGAAAAAAATGTGTCCTCAAGTATTAAGAAAAACTTTGGACTATATATTGAGATATAGCTGCTCTTTAGAAATTCTGATTTAATTAACTACTGCTGAGATCTGTTATACGGCGTTTAGCTGCATTTTATTAAGATGTAGCCACTTAATAACCATATCTGTGCTGATTTTGCCAGTCCAGAAGCAGAGATATGACCATTATAAGGAAAACCAAAATTCAGCTGCATTTGGCAGTATTTAAGAAATCAGGTATGACACGTGAAATAAATATGGGATACTTATGAAGTCTTTGGTAAAACTTCCTTCTAAGAGTATGTCTTAAGCAGAAGTTTATTTTGCCACTTTGTGTAGGAATTTCATTATTGGGCAATACTGACCATTACATGTAAAAACAGTAGTAATTGGATTGCCTTTTACCCATTAGAGACCCAAAACAGTACTAGTTCAAGAAACAAAGTATACAGTTCTGTCCTTCTCCGACCTTGCCACAAACAAAAACCAAAAACAAAAAAACCCAGCAAAACAACTCAAATGTAGTTTTCAAACTATGCTCTTATAAAACAGTTGGAACAGGAACCAGGGAGTTCTGCCACTAAAATTAGCCAGTAGCAGTCTTTTCTTAAGCGGCAGAAAAATGTCAAAACTGAATTTCTCCAATTTTAATTTTTACTTCTTTAGAAGCACAGAGTCCGTGTATTTCTTTTATAAAATTTCAGGGGTAACTGCATAAAGCTGCATGCACATCAACAGGCCCGGAAGTCAGGCCTGTGTTGTTCTCGTCTCCACTGTGGGCTTCACTGGGGACAGCCACCCCTGGTCTGGAAGGGTGCGAGGGGCCTCCTTCATTCATGGGTCCAGGCAGATCTCAACACTACGGCATGCCCATAATGCCGTTAAAGAGCAGAAATTTAATGAAATGTATAGACTATCTAGGCAATAAATTAGCACATAGAATCCCACTAACCTGAGGACTCCTGAAAGCTGAATAAAGAGGCTATTGCCTTTTATACTGCCTGAGACTACCTTCTTAAGCTTCAAATATCAGACTGATTTACACTGAGGTTTCCTGCACGTTATATATATTTGGAAAAATCAACCACCAGCACCACCAAGCCGGTACCAAAAAAGAAAAACACAAAATCTTAAAACACACACACACACACACACACACACACACACACATACACACACACACACACACACACACCTCTCTAAATACGTAGAGAGAAATATACAGCTTCACTTACTTGACATAAGGATTTCTGGCACTTACCATGGGTGATTTATAGTATCTATGAAGTATATTAATGAAATCTGTAATTGTTAGCATTCCTGGAAGAAAGAATTATATATTAAATATAAAACTACGAAAACATTAAAGAAAAATTTCAGATGATAAGCAAACCTGGAATATTTATTTACTAGACAGCCTTAAAGACTACGAGTACAGCTTAATATATTATTTAAAACTGTTAATCTGTGAATTATCTACACCACACTGAGATAATTAATACAAATTTAGCTGAAATTAAACCTGATAGTAAGTAATGGAATTAATCACAGTAGTTGGCAATTCACCAAGACAAAACTTTCTGAATGTTATTAAACATCACAAAAGACTTGTGGCTACATGTAAATAATTTAGGATACTTTAAAATAAGATAAAGTATCCCATAAGCTCTAGAAACATGACACACTTTTGGTAGCACTTGGATGGTTTTCTGAGAATCCTTCTAAAAACAGCGCCTTTCACGGGCACAATTTACGAAGGGCCCACTGTGTGCCGGACACCAGGACTACAGAGATGAAGGCGTGAACCTCTCCCCTGAGGCAGCTGCAGCCAGAGGGGCGGCGCACACCGAGTGCCATTTCAGAATGATGCGATGCCTCCTAAGAGGGACGACACCCATCGTCCACTGTGATTCATAAGATGAGAAAATTATGGAGCTTAGATACTGTGAGCTACGTGGTATTTTTAATAGCGTAACAACGCTTTATCAGAGGTACCAATCACGTTTCCACCGTTTAATCTGCTGTGTCAGAAAAGTGCTCACCGGGGAGGGAGCGGGGATGGCCCGCGGCAGGACCGCAAGCGGAGGGACCGACAGGGAGGGGTCGGGCCTCAGCCTTGGGACCAGGGGACCGGCAAGGGCACCAAGGAGGCTTTCAGAGCCAAAACGGCGCTGAATCCAAAGAAACTCCACACAGGTACATAAATGTTTTGAATTCACTAGCAGTCCCACCACACAGGATGTAAAAGCAAGGCTGTCCTTTGACTGGTAACATGTCTACTAGGCTGCACTCCAAACCAGCACTTCTTGAGCTAACTCAGGCTTTCAGATCCCCGGCCCGTGCCGCTTACCTACAAAACTTTGTCTTTTACTCTCCCACAGAGGCGCTGCTCGGACACCGTTGGCTACTAGGGCAAAGAAGGCCTTTTTAACCTAAGACCAATGAGAGAGACAGCACGCATTTTAAAAGTCTATATATATGCAGGGAGAAAAGTACCTTCCACTAAAACACTCAACCAAATCTTACCGGTTAAAAATAACTGAATTTATTAACATTAGCAATATGCTCTTGTATTATATTGAAAGGTATATAGGGATTGGAGATTATTTTTTCAAACTGAAACAGTGCAATCAGAGAGACTTTATGTAATTAAAACCACACAGAAGAATTAAACTTCAAAGGTTTGTTTTTTTCGGGCCACGCCACACAGCTTGCGGGCTCTTACTTCCCCAACCGGGGACTGAACCCGGGCCCTCGGCAGTGAAAGCGCCGACTCCTAACCACTGGACCTCCAGGGAATTCCCCAAACTTCCGAGTTCATTTAGTTCATTCAGAAATACTGAAGTCCTTTCAAAGTACTTGAAATGAAAATTTGTTTTTCATATGTTCAATAACAAAACAACAAGCATTCCCCCTTCATTTCCCTGAGGTTGAGAAAGAGAAGGAATGAAAGATGTAACATACTCCTACTTTTATATCTTCTTGAGACAGACATTCACTGTGTGCCTATTATGGGCTGGGCCCTGTTCACAGTAGTTCACATACAGTGTCTCCCTGAGCCCTCGGGATAAACACCCTCCGGGACACCATGACAGGCAGCAGAGGTGATGATTTATTAAAAGCCAAAAGCTCAGTGCTGAAAATGACCTCTTAAATACAGACAGCAAATAACATGTGGAAAATGGTTCAATTTTACTGATAATCAAAGAAATGAAAATTAAAGCAAATTCAAAGTACCATTTATAGCTGCTAAATAAGCCAGTACTTTTTCGTTATAGCACCCGACACAAGTGCAGCTGTAAAACCACTGGTGGCTCCATGAATTGTTAGAATAGTTTTTGAGCCACAGCTTGTATCAAGAATCACAAAAATATTCATACTGTTTGTGTACTAGCTTTTTCTCTGTTGAATTACTTACTCATACAAAAATTTTAGGAGTAGGATTCCTGAATCAGAGATGTTCAATTATGTGGCATTATTTCTAACATTGAAAACTGGAGAAAGATCTGCCTCCAACAAAACTTGTTAAATATTGGTATACCAGTGAGAAAAAAGCATCAAATAGTATAACTGTGAAGATTATGTTGAAGTAAAAAAAAAAAGGTTTATGGCAGTGAAAATGCAGACTATAAAATTATGCATTATAATTATATAAAACATGTATTTACACAGAAAAGATCGAAGAGAAACAAGCAAAAAAATTAAACTTCTATGTTATGGAGTTGAGGCAGTGGAAGTGTATCTCTTAAAAATTTTTTAAATTCTGTGGTATAGTTATCTTTTTTACTAAGAAAGAAAAAGGTTATTTTCTCACCCACTATACTCCGAAACCCCTTGTTAACTTAACAGTGAAAAGAGAGGATTTTAGGAAACTAGAGCTTCAAATCAGAGAAGTGTAACTCGGCACCTGTTTCTGCCTTTACTGTGACTCATTTTGCCTCTATTTAGAATGACTTATGTAGGTGCCTGGTTCACCTGCACAAGGGCAGAAGGACGGCTGGTGGGGGAGGGGGACTCTCATTAGTCATTTTCCACACTTGTCTTAGCCAAGTCCAGCACTGTCCTGAGTACGGCAGGGACTCCATCAATCTGTTGAACAAACTGGCAGGAAGCTAGGAAGAGGAGGTGACCAGAGCCAACCCAAGGGCACGAGAGCCAGACAGTAACTAAATGGCATCCACAAATTGGTAAAATGGTTTCTGAACCACAGCTTGTATCAAGAATCACAAAAATATTCACACTGTTTGTGTAACTAAATGGCATCCAGGGACGGTGTGCCAGTGTGAATGGTCTATTTCTACCTTGATGATGCTCTGGGAATCCTTGACTGTGGGCCTAGAAAATATTATAAAAGAGTATGGGGGAAAGTCATGGATGAACGGATTTTGAAACACATTAAATATCTGCTTAGCTTGTTTTTCTAACTGGCTAGAGTAGGCAGGGAGTGGGAGCACTTTTCAAACCACAAACTGCTTACTGTTTCCTCCAAAATAACAGATTTAGCAGAGAAAACCAGTATTAAAGTCATTCATCAGGATCATTCACGTAACCCTAAGAGACCACAGCTGTTGAAAAGCCACTCCGGAAAGTTCTGGTTTGGCCATGATGAAGCAGCTGAAAACAACTGCACGAGTTGGACAAAACATGCAAAAATCCCCATTAGAAAGCACTGGCGGGCAGCGCACAGGCAGGATGCAGGGAACTACAATTCTTGAGAGAAAAGAAAGATATGAACTGAGCTACAAAATTCTGGAATTTTTCCAAAGGCATTTTCCAAATCATGTTCAAATAGGCAAATTTCAATAGAAAATCTGAATCTATCAAAAGCATCAGATAAAACCCAGGTAGGAAAAATACAAAGAAAACCACACCCAGCACATCATAGGTAAGATGCTAAAAATCAAAAGCAAAGAGAAAAGCAGCCAGAGGGAAGAAGAGACATTAACTTTCAAAGGAGCAGCAATCAGACAGATGGCAACACCAACAGAAACAGGGCCTAACTTTAACACTCAATATAATGACTGTTCTTTCAGAAACAGAGAAAATCCTGCTTCCCCACAATAACTTCTCTAACCTGCTACCCACAAGCTCTTAAACAGCCCCTAAATGCTCCAAGTTAGTTACTAAAGGGGTTTCAAGGCCTCTGCACACAAAACACAAGGAAATGCCCGCACAGCACTGACTCTCTCAGGTACCGAAGACGGACAGGCCAGGGACGCAGAGGGTGGGGTGGTGATGTGTGCTGACCTCAGGTCATCCTGAGGATACACTGCTGATGCCACGTGAGGGAAAAACCCAGGGAAGCAGCCGTCCAGCGGCAAAGGGGACACGAAGAGTTCAAGGTGAAAAGTGCCTTCACTTCTGCACAAGAAGGTATTAATAAAACAACCAGATGCTAAGGAAAATACTTGGAGTGAAGCAAAAAAGCCTCCTAGTGGTTTCAGTGGGCGAAGCTGCAGGACCAACTGGACAGACTGATTTTCCGTCAGCTCGGGTCCTTAACCCTCTCTGAGCCTCAACATTCTTAGCTACAAGATGGGGCTAACAGATAGCACTTTCCTCACAAGGGCATGTTTTTTTGTTTTTGTTTTTTTTCCTTTTTTGGCCACGCCGCACGGCTCGCAGGATCTCAGTTCCCCGACCAGGGGCTGAACCTGGGCGCTCGGCAGTGGAACTGCTGAATCCTAACCACTAGGCCACCAGGGAGCTCCCACAAGTGTGTAGACTAATGCACTGCTATGAAGATGTTCGGCATGAAGAGCTAAAAAGAATAAGAGCTTTAATTTTCCACTCTCTACTGACAGACCAGAAGCAGAGAATGAGTTAGTTTTAATTTCAGCCACACGAACTGTTGACAGGTTCACACGTCATGGAGGGAGTCACAGCTCCACCCTCCAGAGACCCGACAGAACTCCCTAAAGTGGACAAGACGTGCTCACAGTACCTTAGCGGGGGACGTCGCAGTGTCCCCAGATCAGCAGCCCTGCCTGCTGCTGTGGTGTGACCGCAGCCTCTCCACGGTCACGAAACCTTCTGAACTTGGCTTTCTTAGCACCACATGCACGGAGTGTTTGGGGGACAATTTAAAACTACGCTCAGGAAGCTCCTCAATTACAGAAGGCACAGGGTGTCACCAACGGACCATCAACAGGCTGAAAGAGGACTGGCGCAGTCTACTTCTAAGGGAAGAACTAGGGGCCTTGAGTGCCCCTGAAAATTTCTTTCAACTGATAACGCAATTTGCTCAAACTGTTACCAATTAAAAATGTTATATTTTAATAGGATTTTCTTTTTTCTTTTTTATAAATTTATTTATTTATTTACTTTTGGCTGCGTTGGGTCTTTGTTGCTGAGCGTGGGCTTTCTCTAGTTGCGGCGAGTGGGGGCTACTCTTCGTTGCGGTGCACAGGCTTTTCACTGCGGTGGCTTCTCTTGTTGCGGAGCATGGGCTCTAGGTGCACAGGCTTCAGTAGTTGTGGCTCACGGGCTCTAGAGCACGGGCTCTAGAGCGTGGGCTCAGTAGTTGTGGCGCACGGGCTTAGTTGCTCCACGGCATGTGGGACCTTCCCAGACCAGGGCTCGAACCCATGTCCCCTGCATTGGCAGGCAGATTCCTAACCACTGCACCACCAGGGAAGCCCTTAATAGGATTTTCAAACAACCAAATGTGATAATCAGCTAAGTAAAGAGGAAAATAAAAGTCTAATATAAAAATGATTTTTTTTTTTTTCGGTACGCGGGCCTCTCACTGTTGTGGCCTCTCCCATTGTGGAGCACAGGCTACGGACGTGCAGGCTCAGCGGCCATGGCTCACGGGCCCAGCCGCTCCGCGGCATGTGGGATCTTCCCAGACCAGGGCACGAACCCGTGTCCCTGCATCTGCAGGCGGACTCTCAACCACTGCGCCACCAGGGAAGCCCTATAAAAATGATTTTTAAAAAGGGTAAGCTGGCCTTAGTTGTGCTAAGAGATTCTGGCAATCTAAATGCCAAGTAGCACATCTGTGTTCCCCCAAAATGGGAATCTGATTCCTCTAATGCTTCCCTGCTTTCCATACACAGTTTTACCCTGATTCTCAATAATTAAATTAATTGTGGGGCTTTTAAAATTAATGCTGATGCATAGCTAAAGCTCTTTAAAACTGTTCACTACAGTTTACTAAGTTTTTACATCAGAGCTCGTCAAACGGATTTCACAACACCTGACGGCGTCTCCCCTGAGCAAGGACGGGCCCAGTTTCTCAGGCTTGGTCTCCAAGACCCTCTGTGATGCAGCCCCAGCCTGACCCCTACCGTCCAGCAGACTCCTCAGTCCGTGAACTTACCTTCCGTTTTTTTGGCTGTGTCACAATGTTCCTTCTACTTCAAATGCACTTACCTTCTGCTCCACCTGTTAAAGCCCAGTTCGCCTGTAACTTCTAAGTCCTCAACAC